CTTAAGGCCACACATTACATAGTCATTTGGCCAGTTCCAACACAAAAGCTTACGGCCACACATCACATTGTCTTGTGGCCACATAAAGCACATAATGTTCAGGTGTTTCACTTTTTCTTCCCCTTCTTTGCTAGAGTCTTCTTTCCTGGACTCTTCCTGACCTTGGATGCCAGCAGCTTCCTCCTTGGTGTCATCTTCCTTAGAGCACCATCAGCATGCATGTCTTGAATCTGGTTTCAAGGTTGCATTCTTTAGCAAGCATAGAATTGTAAAGGTTGTATCATACCTTGGAGGTGTTCTTGGGCTTGATGGTGGAATTGTCTCTAGTGGTGGCACATCTAGGAGATGCCTCTCTACTTGTTCTGCTGCTTTTGTTGTAGCAGCAGCCTTATCTGCTGCTTCTACATCCTCTCTTGCTGTCTTTGCAGCTGCCTCTCTAGCCACTGCTGCTCTTGTCCTCGGTGTTCCTTAGTCTGTTGGTGGCTGGTCCTTCTTGGCCTTCTTTCTTCCTGGATCTAGGTGTTGTCTTCTTGGTCATCTTCCTATAAATAAACACCACAGTTAGGTTAGTTGTTGCTTATTTGTTGAAATAAGATAACAGTTCAGTATTTACCTTTTCTTTGTCCCTATCAGTGCACACCTCTAGCTACCAGTTATGTGGCCATACTCACCATAGCCAGTACATTTTACCTATCTAGTTCTTTTCCAGTTCTTTTAGTTGGAGATAGGTATCCTGCTCTTCTTCAATCTGCGTGGTACTTTTTTCTTCTTGGACAGTGGTGGCAACAACTTGAAACCCTTGTCAACCTAAGGCCATTGGTCCCTGTCAGTGATGTTTGGGATAATACCATGGTAGGTAGCCTGAAACTTCTTAACAGAGTAGTGTTTGTCCACATATAGGTCCATTTGGGGCTGCCTCATAGTGGTGATGACAGCCAGTGCATGTGGGCATGGCTTCCCAATTACCTACCATTCTCTATAGGTGCAAACATGCTTTGTAAGATACACAACATGCCTCCTCACTTCTTCATCTTTGTATATCTCTGTGACTTCTTCTTCTTCTGGATGCCCCTTGGTCACTTTGAGGTGGCCTAGACTCTTGGAAGCTACATTGAGCTGGTGTATGACAGCAGGTAAGGTTCCTCCAGTCAAGGCAGTGGAGATCTTTCTTCTCTTAGCAAACAGGACCATTGTTTTCTCCCTGATAGTATCAGCCAAACAATGCATAGGTAGATCCTTGTGCTCTTTGATCCATGCATTCTAGGACTCAGCTAAATTATTGTTGATGTAGTCACATTTGATGTCACTGCTGAATTTGCTCCTAGCCAAGAGTAGGTTATGGTGCTCTTTGAACCAAGTAAGCACACCAGGGCTAGCTGCCACAACCTTGTTAAAGAAATACTTGAATTTGTGAGGAGTATAGGCCCTAGCTGCAGGCCACATGTTTTTGGCATAGACATCTCCACTGTAATATTTCTTCATATTCTCCATCAAATGTCTGAAGCACTCTCTCTTCTCACACTGAGGCCACACTTGAGCCACTGCTGCCTCAAGACCCTTGCAAGCATCAGTGCATACTGCTAACTTGTCCATAGGTCCAATTGCTTTGCTAAGCTGCTCCATGAACTAGATCCAGTTTCCCTTGGTTTCTGAGTCAAACAATCCAAATGCTAAAGGATACATCCAGTTATGACCATCTAATGCTTGGGCTGAGGGCAACTGGCCATTCCACATCCCATTAAGGTTTGTGGAGTCTATACTAATGTATGGTCTACATCCATTTCTAAAACCATCTATGGCTACCTTGAAACAACAACAAAATCTACTGAAATGAATCTTCCCATCAACTTCTTCAGTAGCTATCTCAACTATGGTACCAGGTGATCTCATCTCTACCTCTGCCTTAAATCTATACAACCAATCAAAGGAGTCATCCCACTTACCAAAAAGCTTGTTGGCTACTCTCTGTTTGCCATACACTACAGTTTGGTAGGGGATCTCAATCTTGTATTTGGTCTACAGCTCCTTCTTCACTTCCTTTGGACCCATGCTTGGCTTCTTCTTGAGTAGTGGAATAGCCCTCTCTGTCACCCAAGCTTGTGAGGCCATCCTGCCAACCACTCTGCTTCTAGAGGCACAATTATGCTGCCCTTCATTTATTTGCACCTACACATGCACAAAACAGCCAAACATAAGTAACCAGACAAACATAACATCTAGACAGTTTAAATAAAACAAAACAAATCTATATAAAATATCTATACCCTGACACTCCCATTGTGTTGGGTTCTAGCTCTAATAATCCAAGGACATCCAAGAGAAGCATAGTTTCCCCTAAATCTTGATGTATCAGCGTGTGCAGTGTGAAGCTCAAACTCCTTGACAATTGCATGTTGTCTCACAGCTAATCTGAAATCATCTATAGAAGGGTAAGAAACCCCTACAGACATATCTAGATTATCCATGTCCCAATCAAAAATGGGCTCCTCACCCACATGATTATCAACTGGTACAGCTCCATCTGCCATATCACTCTGCATCTCAGCTGTCATGGTAGGGATAGGCACAGCTTCCCTAGCTGCTTCCTCTGCTCTTTCATTTGCTGCTTTGAAACCCATTGCCTCATACACTTTGTCCTCATCAGCAACTTCCTTGGCCTCTCCATCCTCATTAGGCTCTGCCAATATAGTCAACTCAGCCCAATCAACCTCTTCTGCTTCTTCCACTAGCACAGATGGAGGTGGAGAGCTGCCAGTGTCACCACTACCTTCAACATTATCAGGAACAACATTGCCTTCTACATTATCAGGAGCACCACTGCCTTGTGCATTACCAGGAGCAGCACTGCCTTGTGCATTACCAGGAGCAACACTGCCTTGTGTAGAAGTGACACCAGATGCACACCTAACACCAGAGCTAGCATTGGCACTTTGAGCATGTTTGCTGACTACATCCACTACAAGCACAGCTACCCTGTCATCCCATCTATCCTTTATTAGCTGCTCAAAATGTTTGTCCCTCCTAACTTTCCATTCAGATTCACTGTCACTGTCAACCACCTAAACATATAATGTCTGTGAAGGTCCCCAGATTATCTTACTGGTCATTTCATCATGAAATTTAGACAGAGAAAACTGCACAGTCCTACCCAGCCATAGTTCATGCTCCCGCGGTGACATTTCTACTTGCCCATACTCACTATCAGCAACATACTTTGAAACCTTAACAACTAATCTAAAAGCGTTGCCAGTGATCAATCCTGACACAATAACGAACAGAAGCACAAATCAAATTGTTAGACAGTATCCTACTACACATCATCTTCCCAATCCGATATAAAAGCGAGGACAAAGTGCACTGAAGTTTAACTTACCAAATAGGGCAACCACTCAAATCCATTGCGTCTCCAATTTCCACCGCAATAGAAGCCACTACATCAACGGCCTACGAAGCAAGGAAGGCGGACAATTTCACCATCACTGGTAGGAACCCTAACCTAACCTACAATCCCATCAAAACTAGTGCAATAAAATGAGCGGGATGGCGACAATGGCGGTCCACACGTACCTTCAATCCATCAAGAAAGCTGGGAGAGGAAGGAGGGAGAGGAAGGCGGCGGCGGCGGAGGGCTACGGCGAGAGCGGGGATACGAAGAGCGAGCAAATGGGTCGGGCGAGGCGACTCAGTGTGGCCCGGCTGGGTTAGCAGCAGAGGGCAGGGGCAGCCGCGGTCATTTGTCACCCCCATGCTGCCTCGGATCCGACCTGGATTGACGCGCTGGCGTGCCACGAGTGCAAAAGTGGCAATTATGTATCTCTTCTCTCCGTTGCGTGCCAAATTCGTATTGCTAGCCGTTGAAGTGAGATCTCAGGAGGTGCCGTTTCTTATAATGGTAAAAAGTTAAATCTCCCGATGGAGACGGAGCCATCATATGCTGGGCCCTGTACATTTTTATGATTTTAAGTACATATTTAGAGTCATACATGTCAATAATAATTTTTATGAACTTAGTTAAACTTGAATGAGTTTGACCTAATCTAAATCTAGATTTTTTTTTGGAACGGAGATAGTAAGTTCTAGTACACAACAGTACACTGTTCCATATACATATATTCACTAGTTTTCTTTTTTAGCAAAACATATTTTCACTAGTTGGCACTAAATTTGTGGCACAATGAAGCAAGCATTTGCAAAATGTCCGCTGACATTTGGCACCAAGTGAAAAAAAAAATCAGTAATCGTGTCATCATCTATCAGGCTATCCCTCGGGTCCTCTTCACCTGCCAGCCATCTATACATAGCAGAGCCTGACCTTTCATGATGAACCATCGAGCCTCATTTCCAGGGACTAGACGACGCCAGTGAACGTGACACCTCCAATTTCAAAACTTCCCTCCAAATGTGGCAACTCCGTGACGACGGTGCTCGCAGGGGAAAGCCCTGATCCTGCATGGCCAATCTCGGGTGGCTTTCCTCCGGTTCCAATCCAAACACGCCGCCAGTCTACCACCACGCGGTGAGCCGTCAGCGGACGCCAACTGGAGCGCCACCAGCAGGAGACAGCCAGTAGTTAGAAGGAGTAATCAATGTTTTGCCGTGGCAGCGGTGGCGTATCTGCGCGCAAACCCCCGTCTCTGGCGTTTAATTCGAGGCAGATGCTGCGGCTGATGACGCGAACGTCACATCGGCGATTGGATCATCTACGCCTCTACGGACTCCACCGGTGTCCTCTTCCTCGTACCCCTCTCGTCTGCTAGTCGTCTTCCCCTCGTCTCCTGCGAAACCGAGCGCTGCGCGCGTTCATACGGAGGCGGGGCGGCTCGGCGTCGGGGGATCTTTCGGCGTGTGGGGAATTCTAAAGGAGACGGACCGATCGGGATGGAGCGCTTCGTCTTCGTCCTGCTCGTCTTCTTCTGCAATTCTTCCTTCCGATTCACAGGTGATGTTTCTTCTTCTTCGGGTTCGTGCGCGTTTCCATTGTTGCTTATAGTTCTTGAGAAATGGCCGCGCAATCCGCGATTATTGCTGATCGTTTTGACCGCGTTGAATCAGATGCCTACGACCCCATAGATCCGAACGGGAACATCACGATCAACTGGGATTTTCAGGTCCTCAACATCAAGGACATGTCCCCGTACACGGTGCGCATACGTGCTTGTGAGTTTTAGCATCGCCATCTTACCGACAGTGTGAATCTTCCGGCTGGTGCACACTTAGAAAGATTCTGACTTTTCTTCCTATCCTTACTGGTTAATGCTACTGATATATATTTTTCATGTTCCAAGTATCCATTTTCTCCCTTTCGTAACATGACTAATTTGAGAGATTTGGATACTTAGAACGGAGATGAAGCATGTCTCCTGATCGAAGGAGAGAAGATGACTCGATTTGCTCCGTGCGTAGGTCATGGTGAGCATCCACAACTACCAGATGTACCGGCACATCGAGCATCCGGGGTGGCGGCTGAGCTGGAACTGGACGGGCAAGGAGGTCATCTGGAACACGGTGGGCGCGGAGACGACGGAGCAGGGCGACTGCTCCCGCATCGGCGCCGCGAACGCCCGCCCGCATTGCTGCCAGAGGCAGCCCGTCATGGTGGACCTTCCGCCCGGCACGCCGTACAACAGGCAGGTCGCCAACTGCTGCCGCGGCGGCGTGCTGTCGTCCCTCGTCCAGAATAATTTGACGTCCACCGCCGCGTTCCAGATGGTCGTTGGCGAGTTCGCCCTCGCCAAGGACGGCGGCGGCGGTATGGAGCCTGAGAAGCCGTGGCATTTCGACATCGGCGTGCCAGGGTACACCTGCAGCAACGCGACCACGGTGGCCCCGACCAGGGTCAAGGTCGACAAGAACCGCTACGAACAAGTGCTCCGTAAGGCTTTTTCTTTTGCATGGCATTGTCTCCGCGTTCTCCTGCATCTGCACCACCATACACGGCTGCACCACCTGACGATCGAGCTGAACTCCGCGTGATTTTGTTGCTCCCGTCTGCCGTGCAGTGACATGGCAGGTGACCTGCTCGTACTCGCAGTACCGGGCGTCGGGGGTGCCGTCGTGCTGCGTCTCCATGTCGACGTTCTACAGCGACACAATCGTGGCTTGCCCGCGCTGCACCTGCGCCTGCCAAGGGTCCCCAACGTCGCCACAATGCGTCAGGCAAAGCCAGTCCCGCACCGATTCTTGTCCTGTTCGCTCACCCGTATAGATCGACAGATCGTATAACGCCATACATCCTCCTGATCCGTGCACATCGTGTTCCTTTTTCTCAGCATGGATCAACCAGGGATGCCGGCGTTGCCGGCGAGCAGCGACGACGAGCCGGCGGCGCCGATCGTCTGGTGCTCCGAGCACATGTGCCCGATCCGGGTGCACTGGCACGTGAAGGTGAACTACCGGCAGTACTGGCGGGTGAAGGTGACGGTGTCCAACTACAACCTGGTGAAGAACTACAGCGACTGGAACTTGGTGCTGCAGCACCCGAACTTGCGAAGCCTCACGCAGCTGTTCAGCTTCAACTACAAGCCTCTCGTCGAGTACGGCAACTTCAGTAAGTGACCGACCACGCAGCACAAAAAATTGCAGCATAATCGCAAGTATGCATGAGAGGAAATGATGCGAGGCCTGTGGTTTTTTTGGTTCTTAAAATTGCAGACGACACGGGGATGTTCTGGGGGTTACGTTTCTACAACGAGATGCTGCTGCAGGACGGGAACGTGCAGACGGAGATGATTCTGGAGAAGGAGAGCGACTTCACCTATTCCGGGGGCTGGGCGTTCCCGAGGAGGGTCTACTTCAACGGGCACGAGTGCGTTATGCCGCCGGCAGACCAGTACCCCAGACTGCCCAACGGAGCCTCGGCTCTGCGGGGGTCGCTGATCGCCGGCCATTGCTTGCTGCTGCTATTCTTCTTCGTTCTCGTGTAGCCTCGTTTGTTTCAGAAACAACCAGCAAGGTTGCCCGCGCAAATAGCGTGGGTAGCTGGCTTTCTTCGTTTTAACATTTGGATTTTTCTTACATGAAAGATCGTATTACTCGTCTCTCCATGTGTTTTCATCGGCACGAATTCCATAGGTATCCATTGGATTAAAGCTATTATAGTCTATTTCTCCTTTTGTTTTATTTTTGTTGCACCTCATGTTCCACAACTTGGTAGAGGGTGAGGTGAAATTGAGGGGGAGGGGGAGAGGCATTTCAGTATTACACATTTACACAACACACATAGTTATTAAAAGAAACTTCACAATTGCTATGTTTTGTAAAGCGTAAAACGTCGCGCTCCTACTCGTCCGCCTAGCGCATGGTCATGCACGCAGCTAGATACAACTATTGCTCGTGGAAGATTGTGGTCCTGCATGCAACTCTATACAAGCGCAAACCTATGCATTTTTATTTTGCTTTCTTTCTTTTAAAAATACGATAACTTTCGTATATGTAGTCCGTTTTAATTTTATTTGCACCATTGTGTTTTTTATGATGAGAGCTATAAAACTAGATCCATAATGCTTATATTTTAAAATTTATTTTTTATAGTGATAACTTATGTTGTATGTATAGTAGCTACTTATGTATTATATATATATAGTGGTAATGAAAATAACTTGTCACTTGATCAAAATATTACTTGCTTCATACTTTGAAATTAAACTTGCCACACAAAAGGTCATGCAGCTTGTAGTGACTACCATTGTGTAGGTGGCTTGCTAGTGGTAAAAGTAGAGCTAGAGCAAATTGTTATTTCGCCATCATATTATCTAACAAGTTGCTCTAGTCAATTTGTAGGATTTTTATTAGGCTATTCACTCCCCTCAAGCCATTTAGGATCTTTCACAATCCTCTATAGCAACTTTTGAGGAAAAGAGAAATGAAGATTGGATTGAGAAAAACAATCCACTTTCACAAAAAACTGTCATACAGGAAATGAGGTGAAAAAGCTACTGCAGCAGTCCCTTTTCTAATCATCTTCTCCTTTTTTTTCTCGATCCTCCTAAAACCACTCCTCAATCTCTCAAACAGAGGGGAGGAAATAGCCTTTTTCTCAACGGTAATGCTCAGGGTCAGGCGTCTGTCCGATCGGACGCCGCTTCTTGGGCCAGCGTGCGCGCTACCGGCCTGTCAGCGCAAAAACGTGTCGATGCGCCGAGCACACAGCAAGCCAGAAGGATCTGCTTGACGAAGCAATGCTGGAGATCCGCTTGGCTTCAACGCAAGACCAGTCAATCCTGCGAATTCCTCCTGAGGGCGTGCCAGTCAATTTGACCTGCAATTGACAAGGAGAAAAAGTTTATCAGTAATTTAAGGTGGAACATACCGGTCTTGACCAGACAGTTCCAAGTGTGCCGCTTCGAGAGCAGCCAGTGTTAGCCCACTAGATCTTCAGCACGGAAATGTCCGACCACTCACTAATGTTGCCGAGCACGTACTAGTGATGCCGACCACGAACTATCGTTGTCCTTCCTTTGGTCATAGTGTGTGGTCGGGCAACGTTAGTCGTGGTCGGCAACGCCAGTGAATGGTCGGCAACACCGGTTATCCACTGGGCCAACAGCCAGACGGGAAAAACATAGATGTAAGTAAAATCATCAGCTAGACAAAATATAACTAGTATGAAGCATTGAGCTGATGAGTCTGACGAGTAAGGATATAACATGCAAACAAATCGACTATCTAATACGAACAGTTCTACAAACGCTCCGAATCTAATCCGTTAACATCAACAGTGAGGTTCGACCGGATCAATGCAGCTATGATGATAACAACAAACTAAAGCTAAAGAATTCACAAAAACCATCCATACCCTGACAGATTTTCTAAAAGACATGCTATATCTATGAAGGCGCAGGTGAATTGGCTAAAAGAGCCGATTCCAGTAGAAAAATGGTCATAACATGTGAACAATCGACTATTCAATATGAGCAGACCTATCAACTCCTCAAGCCTAACCTATCATCTTTAACAGTGGGGTTTGACCGGATCGATGGCAGCCATAATAAAGATAACAGATTAAATCTTTAAAGAAAACAGATCTACTCATATTTAACAGGATCATGAAGACATACTATGAGCATTAAAGTGCAGACGATCGGCTATTTAGTCGATGCAGGCACAGCAAACAACTAAGGTCATGCCTGATCGAAAACAAATCTACCAACTAGCATCCTCCAATCTAAAGTGCCATCAGTGGGGATCGACCGGATCGTTGCAGCCATAATAGCGAACTATAGACCAGATTTAACTAGCCAGCAAACCTTTTTAAGATCATACATGCCTTAACCGCGTACCATGCACGATCAAGATCGAGGTAGAACAGCCAATAAAATGTAACCCGTCGCTCAAAGTAAGAAACATCGTATTATCACAAAGCAAACGACGGACTAAAAGGATATGAGGCCGATCTAGTTCGATCTTGATCGGACAGGTTGATGTTGCTGAAAAAACTATTGATAGTAAAAACATCAGTAAGATCGGTGACTTAATAAATCTACCCAAAGGACGCCACCCTTAGGTAGAGCCGATAACTTGACCTTAATCTAATTCGAGCAGTGGAGGTCGAACTTAACCGATACAGCCGTACTTGAACTAGATAAAGATCGATAACTAGCTTATACTAGAGCTCGCAGTGGAGGTCAAACTTAACCGATGCAACCTTACAAACCAAAGTATAAGCCATGACGGTACTTACAGACAAGCCAGAGGTCGGCCAAACTAATGCAGCCCTGCTTGTTGAAGAAGTCGCCGAGATCTACACTACTACTACTCCTAAGGATTGGCATGGAGCAAAAAAAGTAATTTGTATTGATTGATTGGATGTTCTTTTTACAATAGTCGGGGTCCAACATTTATACCCAAAGTCTAAGCATGAATCTTACCCAAGTACGACTCATTACAATCTTTGGTATAAAAAAAAATATTCCTAACTTAAGATAACTTGGACCCTAATCTTTCTCTTTTTATAGAGTCCGACATATATTTCCCAACGTCAACCGTAGCTCATTGTCGTTATCTGTTGACGTCATTCAAAGAGAGCCGATTCCAGTGTCGCATTTGAATCAGCTGATATCGATCCTTATGCAATCGATTCCTTGATTGACATGATCTCGAAAGCTTCGAGTTCCCGCGTTCTTTTTCCCAAATTTTGGTGTAAACACATGCCCCCCAATTTTGGGATAAAAATAATTTTATTCTAAAATTCCTATTTACCTATTTACCACGTCGCAACCGTTTAATTTCGAGATATACGCGTGACTCCTGATTTCTCGGTCAGAGTCTTATATAATATCCCAACAGTATCTTTTCCAACTTACTCGGCCCATTTGCTTTCCCCTTCTTTCTCAAGCAAATCTTAACAGCCGACGCCGCCATCGTCAAAGCCTCAACCCTAGCAAATTATCTACCCTATCAAGCTTTTACTCAAGCGATTTTCCTCAGTTTCAAATCTATTTCGGCTACAATGGCGACCAACGACCACATCCCCGAGGTATGCTTTCAAGTTCCCACTCTCCAAGTATCGGCCGCTACCCTATATTTTCCTTTCTTCTCAAATTTATTTTATCTGATTTCTAGGAAACGAGGAACGAAATCTTGATTCTATCAGCTGTTGCCCTCAATGTTTATTTTCTTGGGCCTATGGGTGATCCTGATCCATCTGATTTCATCCGTCAAGAAACCAACCAAATCCCTTTCAAACAATCTGTAGTGGATTCGTCCTCCTGAAACACCAAAACTTCCTTCAGAAACTAGTCTAAAATGTCTAGTGGATGGAGAGAATGGTTTCGTAGGGTATCCGAGAAAAAGGCTGGAGATTGGGAGCTTTATGATTCGAATCAATGCTTGACACTCTCGTTGTCTGGGATGGAGAGGAATGATTCACTCCTGGTTTCTGCATCTTATTTCTGGTCCAACACCCTAAATGTCTTCATTTTTTGTCACGGCCCAATGACCATCACTTTGGCCGATGTTTATATGCTGACCAACCTTAGAATAACAGAATCGGTGCAGCCTTATGACTTCTTAAGTGCCGGATCCAAGAAGTTAGCCAAAATATCAGACTGCATAGGATGGGCAAGCTATATTCTGAACCATATTAGAGACGAATCAACTGTTAGTGAAAGAGAATATGTGGCCTTTCTGAACATGTGGTTAGAGAGATTTATCTTCTGTGGGTCATCTTGTGGTTCGACTTACAATCACAAACTTATGGCAGAGCATCTAGCAGTAGGCAAGGGTATTCCTCTTGGAAAGTATCTGTTAGGAGCTGCTTATCATCCGATGTATCAGGTAGCTGCCCAGTTACTGAAGAATGAACCAGTGCAGACTATTGGTGGTCCTCGGTGATTGATACAGCTATGGCTAAACCTGTATATGCACAAGATTGTAAGGCCTGATCTCAGGAACCTGAGCTTTCCTTCCTCCAACTTTGATGAGGAATATAGAGACGAAGAAGGAAGAACCCGTCAGTGCATGAGCTATGGTGAAGCTGCATCGGTCATAACAATTATTGTCGATGTTGGTCATCTCTTCAAAAGAAGCTCTATCAAAAGAGAACATAAATTGGCTAAGGGATATATTGCCAATGCTTGAGAGGAACATAGCCGATTTGGTTCAAGATGCAGATTCAATGCAAAGAGCCTTGTTGGCCATTAAAGATATTTCATCTCCAGATCTTATCAACGTCTTGTTACCTTTATCTATTATTGAAGATCAAGCCCCAAAGGTAAAAAAAGGCTCAGAGGAACCTGTCCAACCATGAATCTTTATTGGCCAAGAAGAACTCCAACAGACAAGAGGCCAAATAGCTGACACAGTTGATCGATAACTTGAAGAGCTCCTCCCTCAGGGTCGAACCAGAGCTGACCCAACTAGAAGCCAGGCATGTAGAACTCGAGAAGGAACTGGAGAGTGTGAGGGCTACCATTGATCACCACAA